CAAGTTCGGCATATGATTGACGAGGGCATTGTCATTTATGCTCCAGCCTTTTCCAGTCCCTTACGGGTTTGCAACCCTGAATTTTTTGCTAATCTTGTGGCAGTTTTGTACTTCACTACATAAGGAGGAAGAAGATCGAATTGTGGTCTGAGTTTATTTTGGATGCTCGTGTTGTGCTCTGTACTACCTTCTTTCCTATTCAGTACTGCTGTAGCTCTAGACAGTGCCGGTCGGGGAATTTTTTTCAAGGGGGGGGGGGGGAGGGCAAGCAAATGAAGTGTCATGGCACGCAAAACATGAAAAAAATTTTATGGTGCCGTCAAATTTTTTAAAGACCTCACTTTGAAATTAGAAAAACCGTGTTTGCTGACATTAAGTGAAATAATTCTAACGGCAGTTTATTCTGAAAAATCTAATTTTAACCCCTTATCACCATCGAAAGCTCTCATCAGCTGTAGCAAAGATGAATTTGTTGTGGGTCTTCACTTACAGCCAGCAGAAAATTCGGAAACCAAAGTTTTCGAAGGAAGGTTGCCGTACTTTTTAGCCTATTGGATCCTCGAATTTATCCAGCACGAAATGGGAAAAATTCTTATTTAGACGGAAATAAGTAATACACAATAAAACGGACTTGAGATAGTAGACAACTCTTCCGGTAAATCTTATTCAAAGCAAAATTTTGTGTATTGATCTTGACAGCCTATAGCACACAATCTCTAAAAGTAGTGATTAATAATCAATCCATCTATGGACTGTCCTACACAGACTGTAGGCAAAAATTTATCAGGTTGGTCCGTAAGTATTGCACCAAAAGCAATATAAATAGCATTATAAAAAGCTTGATAAATTTGTAACTTACATGTTATTTAACGAATATCCTACCCTTATGCATATTAGAGGTTTAGTGACCAGCAAAATAGTCAACCAATTCGATATAGCTACTCAAGATACATTTGGAACGAACTTTTCCCTTAAGTGTCAGCAATTTTTTTTGCAAATTCCTGAAAAAAATTTCTTGTGGTGCTGTCAAATTGAAGGCCCATGACTCTAAAATCAAAAAGGCGTGCTTGCCTGGCGTTAGATGAAATAATTCTAACGGCAATCATATATTCTGAAATATCTAATTTTAGCTCCTTATCATCTTCGAAAGCTCTCACCAGCTGTAGCGTACCAGTTTTATGCGTATTTACGCACAAAACTGATCAAAAGAAAATTTGAATTTTGTTGGACCTTTTAGCATTTTTAGCGACCAAAAGCTGCAAAATGTTACATGCTTTCACGGTTCTTAACTTGAAGCAATAGGCACGATATTTTCTTCCAAAGGAATCAGATCAAAATCGTTGGAGCTTTAGAACTTTTCATAAATTTTGGAGCAGGACTATGGATCAACCCAGTAAATCAACATTCAATGAATATAGTGGTAATAGCTGGCTTACCCGGCTCCGCCGTATGTTCCGAATAGAAAATTCCATTTCTTAACCAATCCGGACCAAACTTGGCACACATACACTTCGGGCCCCGTCGGGTGTCACAGTCCACTTTTCGTTATCGATCGGTGTCGATTTTATCGATTTTTTGCAAAATTTGAGCTAGGGGGCTGGAATTTGGCAGAGGGGTGCAAAAAAATCGATAAAATTGATATCGATCGATGACGAAAAGTAGCCTATGACACCCGCCGGGGCCCGAAGTGTATGTGTGCCAAGTTTGGTCCCGATCGGTTCAGAAATGGAATTTTCTATTCGGAACAACGTACACACAGACATACAGACATACAGACAGACATACAGACAGACAGACAAACAGACATTCAGCTTTATATATAAGATGGTGTTAAAAAGGTTTTCCAGCCTCTTCTATACTTGGAAGGTCTGACTAGCTAGATCAGCTGATTTTAATATATAGCATTCCTTGGGAAGATGTAGCCAAGTTAGGAACTTTCAAGAACATAATTCTAAAATCATGCACGAAAATCATTGATCCGTTTTTGCACATGTGCAAACTTTTCGCCGCGTCATCACCACCTCACACGCACATTCTGTCGCTTTCTCGTTTTACGAGTCGCTTCGGTCCACAATGTAAAGTGGTTGTCTGTCAATCAATTGCTGTCAAATGAATAATTGCTGCGTTTGATTGCGATTACTTCCCTAAGAAGTGGTCTGTCTAGTCTTGATAGATTCGCAAGTTTTTTTGCATGGCGTATATGATCAGGTGGTTGTGAGTTGACAGCTGCCGATCGCGCTATTCGCAATTAGTCAGACTTCCTTTCATCTAAAATTCTATGACAAATTTTCGTGAATTTATTGACTTTCATTACTCATATCAGCGTGTTCTTATCTTCTTTTTCGCACAAAATGTCTGAGGTTTGGGTGCTGTTCACTAATGTAAAATCCATCCCGAAAATGATAACTGCTTTTTTTGAATTGCTAATCTACCGCTGAGCTCGAAAGTTGTTTTCATACCATGGTTTATTAGAAAAGCTAATTGTAAGACGATTATCTTTGTCTGCTAGAACTCTGCTGCAGTTTACTCTCCGAAAAAAACCTGCTTATACTTCACAGTTCTGGAAGAAGCTATTGATTAGAGATTGTCCATCTCAGAAACATCTCAGCTCTATATTTCTATTTGATAGATGTGTGTATCATGTACAAGAATCATATTTCACCTTCATATTAATCAAACATCAGCTATTGCTCCGTGATGATCAATGTACGGCACGTGGGAATGGGAAATTTTGCTGCGTGAACTTACTTTCTTCGTTATATAAATCATCTATGAATTTTGATATTTGTTCATAATATAAGGCTTCATTTTTGAGCAACTAAAAATCTGCTGTTGATCCACGAAAAATAATTTTTGATGATAACCACATAATGGACATAAAATCTTGTTTTCTCTGCACATGTATGAGATCTATTGAGCTAGCTTATGTATTGAATTCTCGCTCTTTCGGCTCCTTCACAAAGACCCTGAATTTGAATTTTCTTAGTGATGGTGACTTTCTCACGAACTGTCTTAGATGCAGCTTTTGGGTCTACTTTTTTTGCGCTTTTTTCATCACTTAGCCTTTATTCTTCAAAAATGAGCAAAATTATATCATTGACTCCCAAAACGAGACGACAGTTGATACTGCTTAAGAGGATTACATCTTTAATCTAATTGTAATTATTTTCTCATCACTCAAATGTCTTAATTTTGGCAGTGCATAGCGCTTCGTACTTTCAATCCACAATGACTGAGCTATACTGAATTTGCAAACGTTCTTCATTCTCTTAACATTTATTCACCTTGTGAAAGTCGTATGTTGATACTTTTAATCGGTTTCGAAGGCAAAACATGTATTTGTCACTTATGCTTAATCATTGTCTTTTCCTTCGAGCACATACCCAAACATATTGCTATATAAAAGTGGTTTAGCCAAGACCAAATTCAGTATTCTTTTCTTTTATCTTTTAGTGTAGTTTAGCTTGTTGTTGTTATCATGTTCATGTTCTTGTTATTTAAAGATCCAAAGATGAAGTTTAATTACCTAAGTTTGAGGTAATGCGAGACGAACGCAACCATTGAACCAAAACAACAGCAAGCTATAACAAGTGCACACAAAAATGACGAGCTCCTATCATCTTACCGCCTACTCTATAAAAATCTAGTGTATGCAGAACATCTTCTCGCCCACTAATCATGGTTTACTTTTTCTTTTTTCTCTTCATCGCTGCTCTATTTGGTGTAGGACAAAAAAAATTCATATAATGGTTGAGGTTCTAGTTATTCGTAAACGCCCAATTATTGCATTATACATGAAATAGAGTTGTATTAGATTAAGACATAGGTCCTGCAACAAAATATGTAAGAAATTCCCACGATGCTTAAAAAGGAATCAATATCGTGCAGTTTTTGTCACGTATAACAAGTGTACTGTTTGTAATACATATCGAAGTTTTGGAAAAATCAAGATGATGAAAGAAACTGGGAAATTATGACTTTTCCGATCACGGAATAGATCAGCTGGACTTCAGCATCAAGGATCATTTTGAAAGTACAAGTTAGGTGTTCCCCTTTGCTATCTTGTAACACCATATGGTTAGTGATTGATTTCGCTTGAAAACAGCAGAGTGCGGGTGATTGCTTACCTCTAATCCATACAGGAGTGAGCGAATTTGTTAGTGAAAACTGTTATTCGCGCAAATCCTAATGCAAGGTTTAGTATCAACCTAATATCACATACTTAGACTGTACTTAAAATTTTGAACTTTGTTCTATCTCTATATGAATATTGATCTCCAATAAAGTCCATATCAGTGCAAGAATTCAAAATATGTACTGTCAGAATACATCTCCGTTAGGTGTTTATAATGATCATGCTGCGCTTCCGTCCTTACTCTTTTTGCACTTCTAATTTTGAATGTTCTATAGACATTAAATTTCCTATTTGGTATCGTGAGCATCCAAAATCCGTCACGATATAATCTACCATGATTTGAGAGTCGCATGAGATAATAGCAAAGCGATGGAAGGCAAATCCGATGCGACAGGATTGAAATAATCCTCTGAACGCCCCACTTTACTCTCACACAGCTGTCATGGATTCCTTTATCGAATTTTGTATGCGCTTCTCTTTATTGAATTTTAACACTAACTGAAATTATCTGAAACTTGGTACATGATTACTACTTGTTTTTATTCTATTTTTTATCCCTCGCAAACTTTAGAATTGCGTTATTCATACCAAGACAGCAAGAGTTCCTGAAGTTGAAATTAATACCATGGTTCTGCTGCTATGGTGAGCAGATGTTTGCAAGATTTGATTAGCACTATCAATTACGAAATGAGTAATAAAACTGAACAGGTTTCTTTCCCGAACACTGTCTGCCTAGCTGTCTCACATTCTTTTCGAGTTCACTTCGCTGAATCGCTCTCCCATCACCTTGTATGTTGTTATCTCCGTTTTCTGTTCACATACGAGATCTTACACATTTTTTCGCAATGCAATGATATTGTTCCAGATGTCCGACGAGGACTGTGTTCGCGTGATAACAACAACGACCACAAGAGCTCCCACAAAAGAATGCTTCGATATTATGGCATTTTCTGAAAACAACCCTAACCTGACATTCAAAGATCGAACAAAGGATTCTAGCGATTTAAAGGTGGACAGGTTAATACTGTTTACAATCCGATCATTCGAGTGTAAAAGCACTTTAACTGTCAGCTTCGCAGGGTTATCACTGCGATATCAATATTTACATAACATACAACGATTTTTTGCTTACCACTTGGCTCCTTCAGATCCTTGGAACACGGCAAATGAGGATATAGCAGACAAAGAAATGACGATGAAATATACTGATCTATGGCTTTGCGATTGCTGCCAATAGTGGCATGCGTTCTGAAGTGCACTCAAATTTTATAAAGTGACCGAAGCATGTTTTCGTAAAAGGGTCAGGGTTGTTGCAATTCTAAGGATTGTTGGATTTGAGATTGGCTCTCCAGTGTCGGGGTGTGTTATCTGTACAAACTGTCTTTTGCTTGTTATCCCAAAATTGTGTTACATATTTAGCTGAATCAATGTATGTTCTTGTAAACTGTAAATTCTTGGTAAAAAGTGCTTTAAAAAACAGTCACCTGGGAAAATCTTGCGCCTTAGACAGAAGAGTGTGAAGTAACTGGGTCTCGCTGGTGCTTTCGGGCTTTATCTTTGATCAGCCTTGTTTTGCTTGTGTTACTGAGTCCCGCTGGCGCCTTGCTTACAGATATATATCGGGCCTATAAGCGGCACAGGGCATTTTGATTAAGAGAGAAACAGATTTTTGTATATTTGGGGCAGCTCTAATAATTGACGGCCCTCAGGTGACAGGTAGGGCAATTGAACAATATGTTGTGAGTAAATGCTCAATTTCACTGCTTTATTTTTCTTGGGAGTGGTTAGGCAATTTTTTCTTATGGATACGGTACTGGAGCGGCACGTAGGGCACGTACCATCTAGACATCTCTTCAAGCGGCACGTAAGGTATCATGATTCGGCAAGAAGATAGATTTTTGTAGGTTTGGGGCAGGACAGTCATTAGGTGGCGCGTAGGGCAATTTGAGGATACGATGTGAATAAATGCTTGACTTCGTTTTTTTTCTGTGAGAAAAATAAGATTTTTCTTCTCAGAAATATTTCCTTTGTTTCAAGCTTTTTCGTCATGCTGAAAGCATATCGGAACTTACCAGAGCATGAAGAAGACTAAAATAAGCTCTCTTCAAAGCTCCTCAAATCCGCGTTTGCTGGAACTACGTGTAAGCGGGCGGGGTCAATTTTTAGAGGCATGCGCTTCTTCGCTCCAAACTTCACTGATAGATTATTCGGAGGGTCTACTGTTTCAACGCTGTAAAACATCAATACCCATGACTTTAAAAGAGATGTCTTTAACGGCACATGATTGTGTTCGTTACCGAAATTTCGGCTCAAAAATATCAAATGGTTACATTTGCCTAAACCTCGCCAAATATCGTGACAAAATAGCAAAAGAGAATCCAGTAGCATGGGTTTTGGGGCGGGGTCTCTTTTCGTAGTAAGATACCATATCCAATTTGACGAAATCCCAACTTGGAAGACTTTTTGACAAATTTTGAGACATTGATTTTGTTGCTGTAAAAATTGATTTTGAGGTAAAGCTATGTTGTTTGTAATGTACATCATTGCTATGGATGTCCTCTTACTTCCAAAATGATATGTAAAGCAAAATATTGGAAAGGGTAGTAAGGTCTTTTTATTATACGAAGTGTCCGTGAGAGGTGGAGGGAAGTTGCGGAAAAAGCGTGGTAACTGAAAAAAACCCATAATCTCGCATGGTCATGGCAGGGCTTTCGAAAAATGTAAATAGAATCGTGAAGTTTATCGCTCCTTAACAGTTCTCCTTTTTAAAATGTTTTTTTACAAAAATGTTCCCAGAAAGGAGTGGGAAATTTATGTAGAGATTTTTTTTCAATCACAGTTGAACCTAATGTGCATCTGCCACGACCCACTTGCTAGCGAGCTAGTTAAAATAAATTAGGGAACTTGAATCCAGATAAATGGCGCAAACTGCGCTGATCATTTCTTACGAGAATACCTTTAGACTTTCGAAATAACTCTTTGTGGAATACAAGGGCTAGAAAACATTGCAGCGATCCAAGAAAAATTTCCAATTATTTCGTGTTTACATAGTTTAACGGACTAAATGTCGTTTCCTTGGTATTCTTTGTACACATAACATAGATTGAGTTTGTGCTGCATGTAGCAGAGTTTGTCTAACAATGAGTCAAGAGTTGTTCAATCCTGAATTTCTATCGAACAATCATTGCAGGAGCAAAGATGCAAACAAAGTTCATAATCTTGAAATATTCATTTTGTAACACAAATGGACCGAGACATTCTTTGAGCTCAATTATCTGCTTAAAAAACAACTTGGAGAAAGTGCCAATTCGACAGCGTGCGTACAGGCTTGTATTATTACAGTTTATTGACATACCATTGATGTGTCCATGTAATTACGAATATGATTTATGCAGATTAGCAAGTGCTGTTTCGACATGCATATAGATGAAAAATGACAAGACATTGCCTTTTGAAAAGTATTTCACCGCTGCTCGAGTTGCTCGTATGTTCGTTCAGTGCGAGTCAATTCACACAGTTTATCCATTGTTTGCTCGAAAACACAAAAAGTGCTCCTGCCATGGCGAATTCTTCAAGAATCGATTGTGATTTTCCAGGAAGTATTCGGCAAATTTGACTCTACACATGATATTAGCAAGGAAATTCTCAGCCGCACACGGTATCTGTGCGCTAAATATCTGGGCGGAGCATGGAATCGTATAAGTTTCGATCAGTTCCGGATAAAACCTATAACGTAAGTATCTTCGACCAAAGTATTAGATTGAAAAAAAAGTTTTGCAACTTCTTCGCTAACCTTTGTTTTTCTGAATGTAGCGCCGCCATTTTTCCATTATCATGACTATCATGTGTGCAACGAATGCAGTCGTTTTGCCGATTCCCATCATCGCATTTGAGAGTTACGGTGAGGCAATTTTTGGGTGGGAAAGAAAACGGAGTCGTTACAGATTCGGATCTTGATCTAGGGAGAGTGAGGGAGGGGGGGGGGGGGTATACGACATTCTGATTACGAAAATGATATTCACTTCGTGTATAAGCCTTATTTTGCTGCAAGAAAGTTGAGCTACAAAAAAATTAGTGGGCTAATTGTTGGCTCTGACAAGTTCGCCTGTCAAATTCACTGTGCGAAGTTTCTCCTGAATCCGAAGGTTCCAACTCTTTGGCAAAGATGGATTTCAGAGGCAGCTTTGACGCATTCGACTCGTTCGGGTCCGCGAGATCGCCAGATTTTGAATTTGTCTGCGATTTACAATTCTTTTATACCAGAGTTCAGTGGCTCTGAGAACATTTCACTGCAGTTCCGACTGAATTCTGTCAATTCATTCTCTGTACGTTCTTTTTACTGTAAAACCTCGATTCTGACCGCTTTTAGGAAAAAGCGGAGATTTCTTTCATTTTTTCATAGAAAGTCAAACAGCTGCGCTGTTTTATAGCCTACTTTTAAGTCTACATAATGCCAATATTTGCCAGTTCATCGAAGAGAAAAAAGTTATGGATAAGTTGCAATACTTACGTGCCCAACTAATATTCCAGCGGTCTAGTTAACACAACCAAAAACTAATGAAAATGATAACTCTCACAGTGAATTCAAGAAATTTTGTCAAGGTATAGTTTAGTAATAAGAAAGATTTATCTTTAATTGTACATTTGCCAGTCATCTGCCTGTAGGTAGCTTGCTTACAGTGGAGGGATGTCAAATTTGTTATTCCTGGTCGAATTAGCATCCGATGTCAAAACTGTTGGTTCTGAACCGCATCAAGCTCTTCTCAGAATCCAGTGTCAGGCAGACCTGGATCAGCTCCTCAGCGAATCCGTCGTTTTCACACTACTTTCAGGTAATCTTTTTGCTTCCGTGTATACACTGAGGAAGATCATCTCGAAACACTTCTGTTTAGAGCGATCATTAGGACCAAAATTGCTGGGAGTTTTCCCGGGTGGACGCTTCGAGCAGTTCATTCCCAGTCGACCACTAGAATGTAAAGAACTGAGCAAACCCTCGTGAGTTACCACTTATCAATGTTCGGTTCTAAAGTATTATATTGAATTTCAAAGGATTGGAAAAGTAGTGGCACCTATGCTGGCTAAGGTGCACACGCTGGATGTTCCAATAACGAAGGAACCTCAGGTAATGATGTGTGCCCGCGGTTGGTTGGCAAAGTTTAGAGAAAGTGAACCTGGTACACATCCAGTCGACATCATCTGCACGGCTGCTTCCGTCCCTTCGCAATGTGTACGTTCAAGAGATCTTGCTATAACACCAACTCACAACCTGCTTACAGTATCCTTCCAAAATCACATGTGATGAACTGGAGGAAGAATTGGACTTTGTTGAGGAATTCCTTACAAAAATTCAAAGTCCTGTAGTCTTTTCACATAATGACTTACAGGTATTTTTGTTTGAATCAAGGTATCAAGCACGCAAAATCATTGAAGCCTTTATTTAAGGAGGGCAATATTCTTTTATGCGCTGATTATCACCTAAGTGGGGATGGTTCTATACGATCTCGATCTGGTGAAAACGATATTGTCGATCCCTTAGTCCTAATTGACTTCGAATACTGCAGTTATAATTACAGGTTAGTTATGAACGCAGTCGCTGAGCAAAAACTGAACTAAGTGGATCGAACGCTCAACCTTTCGATCTGGCAAACCTACTACCGCTACATAAGCAGTCATAGTTATTACCAAACAATACTCTAAATGTTGTCCCTATCAAAGAGAAAGTTTTTCTTTCCTAAAAACCGAAAAGTTGTGCCATAGATCCAACGCTAATTCGTACTAGAGCTGGTCGCTTCTCATTTGCGTCAAACAGCATGTCACCTCCTGTTTTCTACTTCTCCTTATTGCAGGGGCTTCGATCTCGGCAATCACTTCTGCGAGTACGGCATAGACTACAATTGCGATGAGGCACCATACTATAAATTCTATCAAGAAAAGTTCGAAGTTCAGAACGAGAGGCGAAGTTTCTGCAAGGCTTATCGTGATGAAGTGTGCAAGGTATGATGTCGCTGTCTAGATGTTCATAACAAATTCCACGTTATACTTCTGGTAATACTCAAATTCATTCCTTCCCACATGTCAATACAGCTTAATTTTAAATACATAAGTGTGATGTTGTGACACTCTAGAAGCTTCCTTTAGATTTTTGGAGTAAGCATGGAGCTTCAAAGTTTATCAGTTAATCTTGATGGGACGGATATTGAGAAATTCAACAATTTCACTTCTACTTTCATTTCTAGTTACTCAGTTTTTCTGGGTTTTCTCTTGTGACAGCACTGGGCTAACTAAGAGCTTCAGTAAGAGATCAGGGGCCGCAGTATTTCCCTTGAGAGGTGACGTACAGATTCGCAACCCAGTTCGAGCACAGTCTCATTCCGCAAGTTGGTAAACAATTAGCCGGTTATCTTCTAACAATCGTCGATTCGCGTCAACGCAGGTCGAAGGCAGCGTCCAGTCAAACGAGATACTTGGGATCGTACGTGAAAACTGATTTTGATGGCTTAACTAGGGCATTATTCGAGCAGCAGCGCGAAGGGTGCACTAACTGCTGAGATATTCAAGGTTAGACCATTAAAATTAGTTTTCCCCTTCTTGAAGAAGTAGTGAATGGGAGAGACACATAAAAGTAGCGCAAGACTAGCGCTCCACTTCGCCAAGTACTGTGGAATGATCGAGAATTACAGAGACCAACCGTGAGGCTAGAGCTCAACTACCCCAAGGCTCGCAGTTTGAGAAAACGAGAATTGTAGACCGACAACGACCAACCCGAATTAGATAAACAATTACGAGAATATGACGCGTTTAACACGAAGCACGTGTTGCAATTCATTTAGCCGATCGACCTGTTACCACAGGATTGTTTTTGCATTTGAACATATCTATCAAATGGCAGCAGAAGCGTTCGTATAGAACAATGGCTCTGCTCACTATTAGGGATCCCGACGTGGAAGGTGCGATGCCGCGTTGATGCCCAAGTTGTACAGAGACATTTGCTTCGCGCTGCGTTTGCGACTTGCGTTATCGCATTCAAAAGGTGTGTTAAAAGATAGACGGTATAATGTTCGTTCTGAGAAAAATCGAGGTGAACTAGGACGATTTCCTGTAAGCTGTCGCAGCTTTAAATTGCTCATGTTTTGAGGTCTGAGGGGATGACTACATGTGCCAGCACTCAACAACTCTGAAAAAAAAATTATGTACTTCTTCTCCATGTGGATAAAAGAGATGAATGATAATTTTTCAAACTATAGGACTGCTAGATTTTTGATTTTTTAGGGACCAAATAGCAATCTGACGTAAAATAAAAAAGCTTCTGCTTGACTGTTGATGCCTTTGTAATTATAACTACAGATTTCTGTCTTAAAAAGAGAAGGGTTGAAAAGTCGGTCCCGGCAAAATCTCGATTTTGTTTTTCGTATTTTTTGGGGTTTTCTCCTTTGATTGGGAAGCTAGTTTTATATATGAAGTTTGCGGCGTTTGGGAAAAGCAAAAACAAGCTTTTAAAAGCTCTCCAGGTTGCAAGTAGACAATTCATGAACGAGGCAGCCGTGGGCGTAGACCGGGTCGGCCGTGATATCCGGGCAACTTTGTGGGCGATTTGTAGGCTTCGTAGAAGCCGTTTCCTTCTACGAACTTCTGTCATCGTTTAGTTAGAGGGTCTACTATCACATGCTACTAAAGTCGGCATCGTCTACATCCGATATAAAGCAATGAAATATTTTGCGTACCAGCGCAGACTTTCGTTAGTCGGCTGAGAGTTTACTATTATTATGTAATCGAGATGATAACACAGGGAGGGTATGGGCAGTGTTTTCTGTTGTTTCAACTGTCTCACAGCTTCCTTTTGTGGACTACTGAATGTCGCAGGCAAACGCTTACATTGTCAAAATTCTTCTTATTGAAGGGCAGTGAATCCACTGTTATTTTTGTATTGGATTTCATAAAACCCAATTAGGGACTTGAACGTTGAAGCTCTAATTGAAGAATGAAACTTTATTAAGATGCGAGACACCAGCAACAATCCACACTTTCCTTCTGATCTCGTAAGTAACAACGAGGAAGCTGATCTGAATCAGCTGGTCACAGAATCCACGTTGTTCATGGCAGTATCGCATATTTTCTGGTCCTGTTGGGCATTACTTAACTCCGCGGTTGGTGATTTTATTGAAATTCGTAAACGCAAACTATATAACATGATTGCAGGATCCACTTGTTCAATTTGACTATCTCAGCTACGCAAGAGATCGATTAGCGCTTTACTTTCAAATGAAGCCGTCGCTTCAAGCTTTCATGGACGTTCGCTAGTCATTTGGTCTGAAGATATTATCTTCATAATTCACTTTAACTGCACATGGATGGCAGAAGTGATTATCTTGTCTGCTATTAGCATTTTTGCGATTTGCAACTTGAAAGGTGCATGATAGCTGATATGGTAGTCTTTTTCCTAAAGCCAGGTCTATATGTATTCTCATCTTAACTTGACTCTCGGAGCTACTTGTAAGCTTCCACAGAACTAACGTTCAAAACTGATTTCCACAAATTTCTCACAATCTACTTGATCGTGTCTCAAGCTGACAGGCCTTATATATCGAAATAACTCAAAGTCTCGCATTTGATATTTCACGATTATTTCATGACTATCTTTTTACTGTTTGTATCTGTTCAATACGTTCTTATACATTCCCATTTTGCATAGATCTTGATAAACTTTGAATCCGTGGGCAAGATTTCTGTACAGGATGACGAAGTCAAATGGAAAAATAAGTATTAGAGTGTTAATGAGCTTTCAGAAGTTTCCGCTAATGATGACATCTTGTATACTGAACTGTAGTACAGAGAATAGAAAACAAAGTTGTATTTTCAATTTCGTTTCGTTGATTGCCTTATTTCTCTGGAACTTAAATGAAAGGATCATCCACAAGCCGGCGCGAAAGCGTGAAGGTCAAAGTCGCTGCTCCACTGCTCCACACGCAAATGTGATGAAGAGCGATTGGTAGTGCGGTTTTGATTGCAGATGTTGGTTAGCCAGCCCTACAATGGGTACTCGAAGGCAAACTTACATTTGAAGACATGAGAAGCACGCGGCCGATATTGAGGTTCTCCAAGAAATGGTCCGAGCGACGGCGCAGATCAGTCCTAGCAGGAGGTGGCATTTGAGAATTTTGAAAACGAATTCTCCTTTGACAGTGCAAAAGATTACGAAATGCCTTTTGCGGTATTTGTAGAAGTACAGCTATTAACCTCAGCGAACGATGAGTGAATGGAAGTTGAGAAATGACAAGGCAAATAGGAAATCATCCTGACTTATAATAACGGGCTAAGGGTGTTTACGTGTTTTTGTGTGTATGTGTCTGTCTGTCTGTAACGAAATTCACAGAACGAGTGGCAGATAAGGTTTCAAGCCGCAATCTTTTGCACAACACGCACTGCCACCATCCAGATTCACCACGCCAAAGCACGAGCAGATCCGTTGAGTAGGTCGCTCAAAAGTCGCACCATAAACGGGTCCACTCAACGTTTGGCGCGCAATATTGGGTCGTATTACCACTTATTGCAGATTCGTGATTATGTTTGGCAAAAGAATTTGCGTGCCATGATCTTTAGCCCAAAAATAGTGATGGAAATCTATTACTCCACGAAAACGGCGCCAAAACGAATCATTTGCGTAAATGGTCAATTTGCCAGATTTTTACCTGAGCATTTGAGATGGTTTTTGCACAGAGATGTAGCTCACCGTGGATATTATCCTTATGGCGACCGCCAAGCCATGAAATAGTTAGGAAGTGTTCTAATTCCGTATTCGTTCTTCATCTTCCAAATATTCATCCACGCAAAATACCGATCTCACACGGAAAAGCCTTCGGAATGAGTACTTCATTACAATTCATTCGTGAAGACGGGCATTTCGTGGTATGTTTCAGTGCTATGTTATGCGGGAATGAGAATATATGACAATAGATAGAAGAGCCAGTGCGAGCCTCTGCGAAGCAGAGGTGACGCACTGGTGACTTATAATAACGAGCTAAGGGTGTTTACGTGTTTTTGTGTGTGTGTCTGTCTGTCTGTAACGAAATTCACAGAACGAGTCGCAGACAAGGTTTTAAGCCGCAACTTTTTGCACACCACGCACTGCCACCATCCAGATTCACCACGCCAAAGCACGAGCAGATCCGTTGAGTAGATCGCTCAAAAGTCGCGCCCCAAACGGGTCGACTCAACGTCTGGCGCACAATATTAGGTCGTATTACCACTCATTGCAATTGGTGATTATGTTTGGCAAGTGAATGTGCAAGCCATGATCTTTAGCTCAAAAGTAGTGATAGAAGTCGACTACTCCACGAAGATGGCGCCAAAACGAATTATTTGCGTAAATGGTCAGTTTGCCAAGTTTTTACCTGAGCATTTGAGAAGGTTTCTGCACAGGGATGTAGCTTACCGTGGATATTATCCTTATGGCGACTACCAAGCCATGAAATAATTCAAAAGTGTTCTAATTCTGCATTTGTTCCTCATCTTCCAAAGTTTCATACACGCAAAATACCGATCTCACACGGAAAAGCTTTCGGAATGAGCAGGTGTTTACGATTCATTCGTGAAGGCGGGCTTTACACGGTATGTTTCAATGCTATATTAAGCGAGAAAGAGTATATGGCATATAGATAGAAGAGTCAGTGCGAGCCTCTGCGAAGCAGAGGTGACGCACTGGTAATATAATAAGCGGCTTAATCTGAAGCTGTGTGGAGTTTGTTCATTACGAAATCACATTGAGGAATGGTTTACGATACTAAACATCATGCGAAGATAAGATAGCGAGTATGGTTCATTTTTAACTACGGCTCTCACGATGCAATCAACCGAACGATGATTTGAGGCAAGCTCTCAGAGAGTGAGTTTAACACGGTTCATAATGCCAACGCTTCACCTCTGAAGCATTGGTAGGAAAAGTAAGAAAAAGGCAATAGGTTGTAAGGAAAGTTTCCGGGCACTTTTGGAAGTTTCATTTTCAATCGCATTTTTTCGGCGCTTGGTCGGATTTTGACAGCAAGTTTTTTATACTGTTTGGTAGAGGGAAGCGTGAAGTTTTCAATACGCCTTCGGACTTTTATCAATGCCAAGATGTGTCTGATCTGCACATTAAAAATACCTGTCCTAATACCCACTCCCGAATCTGTTGGTTTCTAGACCAACACCAAACCAACTGGGTTGGTTTGGAGCATAAATATCGGAGAGTTCACATAAGTTTTGCATCTTTTTGATCTGGGCCATCAGAACGCTAAAAAAATCTATCATAAAGCGAAGAGAGCGAATTAAACCATTGCCTCACCGCTTTTTTGAGCCAAAAATAGTATAACTCTACGCATTAATAGATATCGTGCTCCAATCACATGCGATGTCCTTTGAACTATGTGGTGAAAAACGCATTGTCAGGTTGTTTAGGCCACATTTGGTTGGCCTAAGACTTTCAACCCTGAACACTAAAATGATACCATATAGTACCACTAAGGCCCGTATGCACTAACATTTCTGCGGCGAGGGGAGCGGCGTCCCCCGTTATGAAGGGACCGCATGCGCACGCCGCTGCGGCTTTTTCATCATTGGGGACGCCGCTCCCCTCGCCGCAGGGATGTTAGTGCATGCGGCCCTAAGGTGCGTATGCACGCATCCCTGCTGGGGAAGGGAGGGGGCTGAGAGGGGATGCGTCATATCACGCTACCCTACGTATCTTTCTTCTTCTTTCTCTATTTTGCCTACAAAGTTTTTCATACACTTACACCTGCGTATAATGGATGCCAGGTTACTTCCTTACAAGGTTGGTTTTTTGCATTTTGTGTGATCCCCAGGGGATCCCCAGGGATCCCCTGGGGATCACCTTTCATTTGAATGTGATTTATCTTCCCCAAAAGTCAACGAAAACGCTGTAAAATTGTACTGAGGATATACCACGGCAGTGCTGAGCATCTTTTTTTTTAACTGGAGAAATGGAATCTATATTGTGAATTTTTCGATGATCCCTAGCTCGCGAGCTAGGGATTGCCAAAGATTTCGATATTCTGAGATTTCGCTTATTTCTACTATAAACATCGGGAACATATTGTACGTGCATACGGGCCTAAGATGACTTAGCCTTTAAAAAACTCAGAATGTTTTTTTTTACTTTTTGTTGTATTGGATACCTCAAAATGTGCTTTTTACGCTTTTTTATTGTTAACTTGATTGAAAAAGAAATTTCTCTACTGCCTTTTGCGTCAAAAGGGACTTCGTAAATTTTCGCAAAGTCATGGGGAACTTCGTTTCCAAAACTCCAAACCAGCGCGTGCCGGGCCCTGTTCTCACTGTCAGAGTTACTGGACGGCTTTTTTTGAAATTCGTTACCAATCTCAATAAGCTCACTTTCTCAAGCATTCCGATGTTTTCAGTGGTCGTGACTTATAGAACTGGAGAAAAAAATCTTGTTCATCATTAACCCTTGTCCTTCTTATGTCCATAATGCCTACGTTCTGAAAGCTTTTGAAAATGAACCCTTGATGTTCCTCCAAATCATCAACAAGAGGGACGCTATGTCAGAGTTCGAGTGTAGACAGCTTGCGCGACATAATCGGAATGACGAACGGCTACCACTGTGGTCTCGAGAAGAAATGGTCTGCATAGCGGCGAGCTTGTACCATTTTGCTCTGGTGAGCGTTGGCAGCGTACGTGGGATGGGATTCACCGGACTGAAAGTGAACTTGCGTTCTTCGCGTATGACTGGGTTCATACTGATCCGTACGTTCCGGAACAGCTCCAGCACAGCGCATAGTGCGAGCAGTGTGTTGGAACTGTTCCGAAACTTACGGATCAATATGAACTATACTTTGGACCAAATCGAATTAATATTTGAGTATTCGAATAGTATTCAAATAAAATTTATTCGAAATTCAATTATTCGAAAAATTCAAAATCTCGAATATGTTCGATATATTCGCTTATTCGTAAATTGTCATTTTCGAATTTATTCGATCATTCGATTATTCGAAAACTTTGTTTTTCGACTATATTCAAACATTCGAATATTTAATTTCGGAACTTATTCGAATATTCGACATTTTCGTGTAATCGATTAACTATATGCTCTAGTGGCTTATGTGCTCTTGCCTGCTTTCCCCTTCCAATTGTGTTTTCTTGCTTTTACACGTCATTCCAAATTGCAAGTCGGTCTCGCCACGACTACGAGCAGAGAGGAATACTAACTACACCGACAATTGTGCTTGATTTTGATATCTTTGCAGATTTGATCAAAGGTAGGTGTTGCAAGCAGGCGTGAATGAGCTCCTTGTCTTTATTGATTTGCGCTCTTAAGAGTGGACGAGACCGGTATTCAGAGTGGATTAGATTGCTGACTTCCATAGTCTTATTATGACGTAGACCAAGCAGAACGAATCTGTCATTAGTTCAGTAATATGCGTCACATTTTGAATATATCGGCTTGCTTGTTCTTTGAGTCGTATACTACTGAGAGTCTTTTCTTGTACTATTCGACCAAGAATTGTTTGAATACCTAGTTTAGATATAGTATTCGTTTATTCGAATTCTCGAATATTCGCAATTTTTTTACTTCGAAAATATTCGGTATTCGGATATTCGACATTTTTTTTTATCGAAACATTCGAAATTCGTTTACTCGATCTGATTTTCAAATATATATTCAATTATTCGATTATTCGAAAAATTTCGAATATTCCAAGGTATGGTATGAACCCA